AACACTTTTTGCATAACTGCTTGGACTTCACATGTTTAGGTATAACAATTAAAAAGTCTTCATCCGATTTAACTAGATTTAGTAACCCACTAAACCGAAGCATCCAAATTTGTCGGAAATCAGACTTTTCTCAACAAAGTCGAAAGACTTTCGGTTAACGAAATCGAAAGGTAAACATCTTTTCGAACGCATTGAAAGTGAAAACGCAAAATTGGTAGTTGTTGCGGATAGTGAAATGAAATTAAAATAAAAACCTTAAAAGACAAGAAGAAAAAGTGTTAAATCTATTTTACATATCAAAATTGAAGATCCTACCGAAAACGTGAAAAAATATGAGGATACGATTACAGATTGTTACAGTTATTAATTCGGCAAACCAAGTGCAACCGACAGACGAGTTGAAAAATTTTATGTTTGCCAAATTAAAATCTATCTTTATCAAGTATTCTCTGGAATGCTAATTTTATTGGAAAAATCTGTCAAAGATTTTAATTTCATTGAACTACTTGAAGGTATGTAATTATTCAAAGGGTAGAACTCTCAAATATATAATTATTTTCTTTATACATGTAGATTCTATCATACGTTACGAAATCATTAATTTCTTTTCGAAGTCGTGTCAATCCTCTCATACGAAAATCTTGACAATTTCGTAAAGAAATCGGTACCGATTTCGGAAAAATCTTTAAAAATTCAATATTTTCTTTACGCCAGTTAATTCAAAAATAAAAGCCAATTGCTACTTCTTTTACTTCTTTCCTGCGCACATTGAGATATTAAATCACAACAAAGTAGCTGCAATAATTAAGCGCGCACATAATTCACCTTAAAACAAGCATTAAATCCGAATAATAAAACTAACAATAATTGCCGCTATGCTAGGATTCATTGGTATTAGTGTAGCCTTTCTCCCATACACACAAACGCTGACATCCCTACATACATATGTATGTAGTATATAAGCAAGTGGAAAGAAAGTCTTGGATGACGGCGTACTTACGTATTGAATCTCCCCTTTCATATTTGAATGAGAAATATTCTCCTAATTTATGCATTTTTTATGATCCTCTTAACCAGCTCCACTATTTGTTTTCGTTGATTTTCACCGATTTGGGGAAAGCATAAAGCAGCATTATGTTTGGTATCACCTTCTTTATTCATGTGCACATACTACATATATGTGTATGTACATATGATTTCTACTGAAACGCACTCAACCGCTCGAGTAGACGACCAAGCGTTTGGTGGCTGTGTTTTATTACTTTTGTGGTGAATCGTAAAACTTTTAACTATTTGGCAAATTGCTAGCAAGAGCTTAATTCAATTATAATGCGCCCACACGAACCACCTACTACATGCCCCACACGTCTGTTGCTTTCTTGTGCGACGCTAGAAGAATGCATTGCACTGTGACAGTTTGGATGCACTTTCAAATGGATTTACTGCGATTCTTTGTGACAGGCGCTGCCGATGCCTTTCAGTGCATTTTTATTACTGCAGCGTCATCTGCATTACTTGCATTTTCAGTGTCGCGAATAATTTTACAACATTGTTGCTAATTTTTAATTTTGGCGTATGCTCATGATCGCTCGAATATAGATGTATTTATTTACATACATATATTTGTATGTATGCGCATTAACAATAAAATAATTGATGCGATGGTAAGATTATGCGATGCAAATTTTTCACTAAATAGTGTGCTGATTTTATTGGTCAGTGGCAATGTTCTCGCTTGAGAAAATATTTTAATGACAAATGTGCTGATATTGCGTACAAATAAATATGTACTTCAGGGTGGTCCAAAATAAGTAAAGTCGGAATTTTAATGCTCTCACCCCTTAAGATTCTTCTGTATCGAAAAATAAAATAAATTAAATTATTAAATATTTATAGGAAGCTCAAAGCGCTCAAAGTGAAAATTCCTAGCAATCTGAGTTTAACAATAGGAAATAATCATTTTATTTGTTCCCAATCATGATACAAATTTTGAATTTTTTCCAACTTGACCTCAGATTCGGTCCCAAGAACCACACTGGAAAACGTTTCAAGCGAAATGAATGAATTTGAATTTTTGGGCCGCCAAATTGAATTCGCCATTATGAATTATTAAAATCATGTCCTAGGTTTGTAATCAGCAACCTCAAAAACATAAGAACCTGCTGTTACTTGTTCTTTCTTAAAAGGAAAAAATTACTTTTCTTTTTCAAAAAGTATTTTAAACAAAAAAAAAAATACCAATTTAAAAAAATGGCATCGTTGTTAAGGCGATTAAACCCCTTTTCGTCAAATATGCATATTTGTTTACTTCGTATATAAAAATTTGAGAAACAACACTTAAAAGGAAAAAATAACAACTTTTTCTTATAAAAAAAAAAAATACAAAACAAATTACTCATTAGTAATACAATTGCATACCATATTTAAATAAAACTAAGGCATATAAAAATATAAAAACGCCATGGTTTTTGACTTTTTACAAAACAGATTATATATAAAAATTAAAGGTAATTTTCTGTTTTATTTAAGTAAGGTATTCAATTGTATTTCTAATTGGTAATTGTTTAGGTTAAAATATCTTGTATAAGAAAAAATTGTTATTTTTTCCTTTAAGTGTTTTTTCTCAAATGTTTATATACGAAGTATACAAATATGCATATCAGAGGAAAGGGGTTTAATCGCCTTTACAACGGTACCAATTGTTTAAAATTCGGTTGGTAATTTTTTTTCAAAAATATATTTTTTTCTTTTAGGTTATTTTTTCCTTTAAATGTGGTTTTTCTTACAGTTTTATATACGAAGTATACAAATATCCATATCAGAGGAAAGGAGTTTAGTTGCCTTTAAAACGATACCAATTTTTAAAAAATCGGTTAATATTTTGTTTGTTTAAAATTTTTTTTTTTGAAAAGGTATTTTTTTTTAAATGTGTTTTTTTTAATTTTTATTTACGAAGTGTACAAATATGCATATCAGAAGAAATGGAATTCAATCATCTTTATAACAATACCAATTTTTTTATTTTTTATTTTTTATTTTTTTTAAAGGTATTTATTCATTGTGTTTTTTCTAAAATTTTTATATACTAAGTATACAAATATGCATATCAGAAAGGGGGTTTAATCACCTTTACAATGATGTAAATTCTTTAAAAGTCTGTTCAAAATTGTTTGAAATACAAGGAATTTAATTCTTCGAAGACCTGAACTTTGTAATATAAGTTTGCACACAAAAAGTTATATACCATTTAAATAAGAGTAAAAGGAAGACTACGTCTATATTTTTAGGTTTTTAGTTATTTATATGCAATAATTAAGTACAATTTTTTACCAAAGGTCCTATTGTGAACTTCGAAGGCCCATATCTCGATTTCGGAGGCTAACTTCGAAAAACGGAGAAATCACTTATCCAATATTCAGAAAAAAGTTGATTTTGCCGTACAGTATTATTGTTTTGGAAAAGTATATTTGTTTAGGAATATTTCATGAATAAAAAATAATAATACACAAAGTAAATTTACTTATTTTATCGGCTTAGTAGAGCTGTCATTAATTGTGCATTGACTTAAAATATCATACAAGTAAGGCATTGCAAAAAAAATGTCCATTGTCTGTAGTTTTACATGAAATATTATTATATCTTTTGGATCCTCTATAGTCGAAAGCCCAGGGCTGCCATAAGCTTAAACCCATCGAACAGGACACTTATCATCTAAATCTAAAACTAAGATACAAGAGAATATGGTGCCAATATATATTTCTAATAAGTACATACAATTGATATTATAACCCAAGGCAAATCTATACATGGTGGTGTTATCGGATCCGCTGATTTCACGGCGAATTTGTACCTTTGGTCAAAATGATGTGTTTGTTGTAATTCTGCTTTGTACTTTGTGCAATTTTTGTTTTTGTTCTGTCAACTCCATCTTGTATACCCAGCATCCATCTTGTGTACTTATCTAGACATTCTACATTAGTTTCTCTGTAAGGCATTATTTGTTCGCTTCTCGGGATTCTGTTTATCCATGCGTTTTTGAGGGTAATGTTGCGGGTAAGGGCTTACGGCCAATGGCATGCCCATGTTAAAATAATGCCTTCTTGAAGCGAAAGGGTAAGCGATTTCCATCGCCTAGCTCGTTTCCACTTCCATTTCTGTGGCAATCGTGTTTTTTGCTGGGTAAATTCGCCATGCTATAACCATTGTAGTTGTGTGGAACAATCCGCAGAGCTGAATGATTGATGATGATGTGTTTTATGAAACACTCAGCCTTTTAATGAACGCGAATGTACTGAAGTATAGTGCTTATCATAACTCTTCAAATCTTGTCAATATCTCGGCAGCCAGTTCGAAAATACCCTATCTCAGAAAACTTTTCAAGAACGCCCTATTTCAGAATTTGGTCGAAGAACGCCCCATTTCTGAATTTTATTGAAAAACACTCAATCTCAGAAAACAATTTAAAAATGTCCTATCTCAAACATAAATATATAGAAAATAAGCTGAGACAGGGCGTTCTCCAACCAAATTATGAAAATAGGGAGCTTTTCAATGAAATTCTGAAGTATAGCGTTCTTGAAAAGTGTTCTGAGATAGAGCGTTGTTGAGAATTATTCTGAGATAAGGAGTTTTCGAACTGGCTGCCGAGATAGGTGATCTTGCACTCAGCCGTCGATATGTACATATATCTACATTATTTAGCATTAAAAATGAAATTTAATAATCATATTAAAGGAAAATTCATCGTCTAGTTCGGAACTTTTTTTACTGCGGTTTTGATTCCTGAGCATTCAAAAAATTTTAGTAACACTGCCACTAGTTTTAGCTACTACAAATAGCGCATTTTTCCTGGAAATCTTCTTATCACAAAGTCCAATTAAAAAATTACCATTAAAAGGTTAAGAAAATCTATACATATTACATTCACGCCTTAAATTTAAAAACATTTTACCAAGATAAAAATCTAAATATTTTACATTTCTTCCTTATTTTTTTCCTAGGTAAACGAAGCTTTTGAGGTCTTAAAGCGACGCACTTCGACGAATCCAAATCAACGATTACCTAAGGTTGAAATACTTCGAAACGCCATAGAATACATAGAAAGTCTTGAAGATTTGCTGCAGGTATGTATGGGAATAAGAAAGAAATTTCACACGATATCGACATGTCGTGACACACTAAACGACATATCGATTCGATTACGAAAAGTTCTTTACCTACATACAGATTTTATATTTTCAGTTTTGCTTCTATTTTAGGAATCATCACCCACACGTTCCATAGACAGCTTTTCAGATGGCATAAGTGGGAAAGCGTGTCAACAGGACTATTTGGTGAGTGAAATTTGCTAATAAAATAAACTAAAGAATAAAGAATATACTTAAGTATGTATGTACATATGTATGTCAATAAAATGCACGCTCACGACTTTAATGAATTGTTATTTTGATGTTTTTCTCCAATTTTATTATGTAAGCTTTTAAACTGTTGACTTTTTGAAACATTAATTGAATACGTACAATACATACATATGTACGTAAAAACCTGTGCGAAGATCAGGGCTATGCAGCTTACTGCGGGAGATGTAAAATTTTAAAGTTTTTTTTTGTTCTCAATTGGCATCGCCGCTTTCTTTATTTTAGTAGTTGCGCTTTGTTGTGCGAGGAAAATTAGTGAAACATCCAAATGTGGGAAACTTAAGATTATGTATCTTTGTTTGTATACACATAAATATGTACATATGTATGTATGCATGCTCTTGTATATAAGTTTTAGTAATGTGCGAAGTGCGAGACGTATTTGTCGATTGGGTGGCGTGTGACACGTTGAGTGGCTAATAATGGATGGAATGTCACAACAAGCATTGCTTTGATTTATAACAATGGCATGGATACAGATTTATCATTGCATTCTTTTAAATGTTTATATTTTTTTGCATTTTAATTTTTAAGGTGACAACTTTATGATATATTCAGAGCTTCAGCCCCAGGGAAAGGAACTAATTGTAATCAAAACCCTTTCCAACAGGAAATTTCATACAGTATTAGCCCATATTTTGTGATAGACCGATACGGGTACCGATTAAAGAATGTCGATACTTTTCCTGAGTACTGAGTAGTATCGAGAACCCAATGCTTTTTGTTAAATACTAGTATACTGCGACCGAACTAGATCAATTGTGCTAACATTTAACTAGTCACTCCAACCTTAGGCTATTAATGAAACTAACCACTTTGGGCACCGGATTTCGCTAGAGTGTCAGCACTTTTGTCGCCATCAAAGTCTTCATGGCTCAGAACCCACCACAAGGTTACTCTTTTATCGGTTCCTAGTTTCTCCAGTACCTTTTTGTTCTTAACGCTGCCTTGCTATCTGACATGATGTTTATTGTTTGTCCATTAGTCCTTCTGCGAAGCCACTCGTGGACACATACTTCAATTGTAAAAATTTCCGCCGTGAATATGGTTGGATATATGCGCATCGGGACGATTTTTTTAAATCTAGGTTCATAAACGCCGGCCCAGTGCTGCTATTCTAAAGTTTGAAACCATTAGTGTACGAAACCTGAGATCCCTTGATGAATATGGCGATTATCCTTTTACAGGTATTCCTTTCAGGTATTATTACCTGCAAGGGCTTTATAAAGGTCAACTTCGATAGTATTGAGTCTGTGAGTTTTACTCCGGAATCATTTATTTGAATTTTTTTAGGACACCCCCATGTCTTCATTTGATTTTTGAAAGTCTCAGTTTTCGCTGAAAAAGTTATAATCAAAAAGTTTACAAAAGTTACCCAAACTGACACGTCAAAATTGTTATTTTAATTACTTTGATTGTTTATAAAAATTAAAATGACATTTTTACAATTAAAACAAATTAAATGAGTTACAAGAACTCGTCACATTTGTTATCAAAATGACTCAAGTTTTTTTACAAAAAGTAATAAAATTAATTTAAAGGTGAGTGACACAAAAGCACATGGTTCCGGAGATTTGCCCATATATGTTTTAGAGAAGGGCGCGGGATATCATTTCCCGCCACTACCAATAAAATCGCAAGCTCCGCAAATTCAGAAAATCTTAAAAAATTTGTTTTTTTGTTATTTTTATGGCCTTGCAACACTTATATTCAACAATTTTTATAAGCTTGAGGCCGTTTTTAGTGAAAACTTATTGTGGAAAAGCAACAATAATTTGAAAAAATGCTAGAAGTGATAGCTATTTCGGAAATCACCACATTTCCTCATCAGACTTCTTTCAGTAGGATTCGAACCGACGATCACCACTGACTCAGCCAGTTGCCTACGCACTGCGCTAAGTTTGCCTTGTTAATTCTTGTTGCTTATTTCCACTATTTCACTTTGCTAAGCCACTGCAATTCACTTGATCATGTGGTTGTTGGTTTTTGTTAATGTTTCTATTATTAGAATGTTTAACTTTTAGGTGTGCTCGTCCTTAAGTTATTTGTTTTTTTGTTATTTTTATGGCCTTGTAACACTTATATTCAACAATTTTTATGAGCTTGAGGCCGTTTTTAGTGAAAACTTATTGTGGACTGCAACAATAATTTGAAAAAATGTTATATAATATGAATTTTTTTATGTTTTATTGAGACGAAAACGGACAGCAAAGCAAACCAAAATAATCGGAAGATGCTAGATCTTTCATATTTTTTTTCATTATGTATTTAAAAATAATTTGACATGCACATGTGCATTTTTCTTGGTGATATATTTTGGGACCCACGGAACCCGAGGGACAATTCTGAAAAACGTTGGGATGAAAGGGTTCGAGATTTAAAAAGTTTCGGGATGGGCGGGATTGGGATTGAATGTTTAGTTCCGTGCCCATCTCTAATATGTATATATGTATTTATTAATACTTTCAATTCTAAAAATAGCAAACGTTAAGTGTGTTTTAACTTAACATAACACAATCCAGCGAAACTAATTAATTCATTTAAAAACCTGGAACACACATAAATATGTATTTACTTAGCTAAAATAACGAAGCATAAATTTTAAATTATAATTTCGCAATAAATACAAAACTGATGAAAGCAGCTACACATAAATTTTCTCGGTAGTTTTCGAATTTGTAAAACAAAGCCATTTATCAAAATTTTCACAACATTAATAACGAAGTAGCAGAGAGTGTGTAACCAACCACAACTAAAATCTTTACTACTCT